GGAGAGTCCAGAGGGAAGGAGCAGGATGAGGTCAGAGGTAGGTCAGTCGCAGAAATGTGTGCCAGTAGGTCTTACAGAATTATTAGAGGTGCTGCCATCTGGCAGCTGCCCGGGATCCCGGCAGCATGCTGTGTGTGGGCCTGGGACTTGGCATCCTTCCCTGCCCCACTGTCAGGTGCCTCGTAAGAGCACAGGCTGGAAAGTGGAAACTCAGAATCGCTCAGACTCCCTTGCAGCTAGAGTTCTTGGCCACAGGCACACTCATGGGAGGTTTAGAAGGTGAAGGTTGCATGGAGGCATTTTCTGGCCACCGAGGGCCATGCCTGCTGGCCAGCCAGGTTGTGGGGACTTGCTGCGGGATCCATCCTCAGCTCTGGAGGGTGGAGAGGCAGCCGTGGTGGAGACAGCAGCTGGACTCTGCCTTCTGCCATCCAGTCACTGGCTCTGTGAGCATTGCCAGGCAGTATGGCTGCAGCAGTGGTGATGTCACATGCATGGGTCTCAACACTTGCTGCGTATCCTTGACCTTGGCAAGTCTGCTGGGGCTCCTGGTCCCGCCCCTCCTGACATGGAAGGCAGAAGCTCCCCAGGTGGGGAGAGAGAGAGAGAAAGCTCTACAGCCCCTGGGTGGGATCCTTGGGGTTCCAACCTGAAGCCCTTTCTCTAGCCCCACAACAATTTAGGGAACACCTGGTTCCTCATGCTAAATCCTTCCTCTGCTTAATTATCTAGAGTGGTGTCTCGTTCCTGCCCAGAGCTCTGTCAGACAACTGATCAGGGCAGACAGGGAAAATGCACCAAAGTGTGAGACTCTCTGGGTTCATGAACTTGTTCTGTTTCAGAGAAGTCTGGCTTCTGCCCAATTCTGAAGCCTGAAGTCAGGAAGGAAGCGGGCACTGAAGCCCGTAGCCCTGCAGGACAGCTCATCCGCTGACGGATGTTCATGGTGGCCACTGTGAACCTGCACCTCTGCCCGCCCCTTCTTGGGAAACTCTTGCCCGCCCCCCACCCCCGCTGCCTTGACAGCAACTCTACTTTGCTTCAGTGCGGATAAATGCAAACACAGTTTACGTAGGCTGGAGGGATGCGAGCGTCTGGTTTTCTCTAATTGCTCCTGTTGTTCTAAAGTTATATTAAAAAGTAAACATACCTCCCGATCCATTCTCTTTTTTTTTAACAGAAGTTTTTTTTTAATTTTTATTTATTTATGATAGTCACAGAGAGAGAGAGAGAGAGAGAGAGAGAGAGAGAGAGAGAGAGAGGCAGAGACATAGGCAGAGGGAGAAGCAGGCTCCATGCATCAGGAACCTGACATGGGATTCGATCCCAGGTCTCCAGGATTGCGCCCTGGGCCAAAGGCAGGCGCCAAACTGCTGTGCCACCCAGGGATCCCCCGATCCATTCTCTACGCCTCTCCTCAAAGCCCCTCCTCTAGGAAGGCTTCCCAGATTGGTCATCCAAGGTGTCTTTTCTTCCCTACTACTAAGTTTCCGGAAGGCATTCCTAGGCTCAGGTTAACTTCTCCTAGCGCTGGGAAATAGAGGATGTTTTTGATGGGGAGCAGAATAAACCATAACAGTGGGTCCATCAAGCGTCCAGGGCTGTGTCTGTAGGCAGGTCCCAGGGACCAGCGCAGGGAATCAGGAGGCTCACCTTGGTGCTGGGGGTCCCCAGAGAGCTGGCATGGGAAGGGACTGCCTGGCCCCCACATCCTTTTGATCCCAGGACTCCAGTGCAGTTTGCTGAGCCTTCAAAGAGAAAGCCCTGCATCAGGCTGTCAGAGAGGAAGGCCACCCAGGCTCCAAATAAGGTAGCCTCACAGCGCCCAGAGCTAGTGTCCCAGTGAAGGGGGTGGTGAAAGCAGGGGGCGGGGTAGTCTGAGGGTGGGAGGACTGTGTTTGCTGGAGGAAGGGGTAGGCACCTGAGAGGAAAAGCAAAGGGGAGCCTCTGGCTTTGGAACCAGCCTGCAAGTCCTTGACGACAGGATATTGGTGCCCATCCCTGTTGACTCTGACTTTGGCAGGTGACTTGCTTTGGCTTATGGTGTGTGATGGGATGTGATGTCTTCCAGGTCAAAGCAGACAGGCCAACACTACTGGGGCAGTTTTGCCAGCCCCTCCCCCTCCCCGGGCCCTCCATCATGAGAACAGCATGACCCCAGATGACTTCAGGTTCCAGAATAAGAGAGGTGCAGACATCTGAACCCTACCATCAGCCAGGGGCCATGTGTCACCAGTCCCAGCAGAGCATGGTAGAAGCCTAGCCAACTCACAGACCCGGGAGCAAGCAGTGACGCTCGCTGCTGGGAGCCACTGAGGTCTGGGGCTGCATGTTACTTGGATGAGCAGATGCCTACCTAATACCCCGGGTCTGTCGGAATCGAGAACTGGTGTGGTTCCACCATGCCATCCCGCTTCTTGGAAGCAAGAGAGCTTTGAAAACCATAAAACCCTATTAAAAAAAAAAAAAAACTGAACCCCAAGGCCGAATTGTCATCGTTATTAATTTCCTCAAATTCTTCATTCCTTTTATAACTACAACTAAGCCATTTTTTTCTCCCCTTTTTCTTTCCTTAGAGTCACTGAAAAGAACCAAGGAAAATAACTGAGATTTCAGCTCCATTAATTTTTCAGGGCACCATAAATTAAAGAGCAATTGCAACGCAGTCAATTTCTGCAGGAAAATAAGTCTCCGTGATTGTGCTTTAGTCTAATTACATGGAAGGCTAAATACTGCTATTAATACCCAGAAGCACATGCTGTCCCAATGGAAGACGCCCGGAGCAAAGAGGCAGCCCACTAGGCCAGGGGATCTCGGGGGCGCCAGGCAGCGAGGCCCAGGCCTGGGCAAGGAGCCTGGGCCCTGTAGGGAGCCACGGCTCAGACCAGCCGGAAGTCTCCAATTGGCGGCCCTTGGCCTGGGCGATCTCTAATGGGAGACATCCGTCATTGACCTACGGATCGATCCAGCCGCACCCATCCATCTATCCACCCACCTCCACCATCGATCACCCATCCACCCACCCATCCAGCCTCATCTCAATGTCCATCCATCCAACAACTATTATCAACCGGGAACTTGAGCTAAAATGGTGTAAAAACTAGGACTAGTCCCTGCCCTCAAGGAACAGAGTGTGTGTGTACAGGGCACCAGCAATAATAGAATAATGTCACAAATACATAAGCACACTGCGATCGGCCTTGGCGAAGAGGGGTGAGGGGAGGTGGAGGCGTGTGGACCAGGGGCAAGGTCCTAAGGAACAGCTTCCATTTGCCTCCAGACCATGCACCACCCTTGTCCATCCTTCTCCACACAGGGCTGGCCTGTGCGGATGGCATCCACTGCCCAACCCCATGTTGGCTGAGCTCCCTTTCCGAGGCCAGGCCTCCTCCTGGGCCCCTCCCAGAGACGTGGGGGTCCACAGAGTGTCACTGGGCACGACAGTAGGCCAAAAATGGTCCCCAAACGGCAGCCACGTCCTAGTCCACACACCTGTGCAAGTGACCTCAGAGGGCAAAGGACTTGCAGATGTGATTCCATGATGATTTTTAGTTGGAAAGGTTATCCTGGATTCCCCAGGGGCAGCAGAGGGCGACTGCTCTGATTTCTCACAGACACACACTCACACTCACAGACACACACAGTCACACACATACAGTCACTCACACACTCAGAGTCACACACTCACACAGTCATAGTCATACACTCATAGTCACACAGTCACACACTCACAGTCACACAGTCTCACACTCATGCAGTCACACACAGCCAGTCACACAGCCGCACTCACACTCAGTCACATACTCATACTCAGTCACACAGTCATAGTCACACACACAGTCACAGTCTCACACTCACACACTCAGTCACGCACTCAGTCACACACTCACAGTCACACAGAGTCTCACACACACTCAGTCACACACTCACAGTCTCACACTCATATACACTCAACACAGACTCATAGTTACACACACTCAATCACATTCACTTGTCTCACACTCACACACTCACATACAGTCACGCACTCACAGTCACTCACTCAGACACTCACAGACACACACACATAATCAGGCACTCACATTCACAGTCACACACTCACACTCACTCACACTCTGTGAACACAGAGCACAGACACAGAGGAGGACACTGCCTTTGCAGGCTGGAGAGGCTCCTTCACAAACAGCTCGATGCCAGAAACTGAAAATGGCCAGGGACCCCCCACAGCCTCCGGAGGGAGTGTGGCCTTGCAGACACTTCGATTTTGATCTAATGATACTGATTTTGGACTTCTGGTCTCCAAAACTGTGGGAGAACACACTTCTGTTGTTGTAGGCCATCAAGTGTGTGGTCACTGGCCTCAGGCTGCAGGAAACCAATGCTGGCCTCCACCACGGCAGGGTAGTCCTTGTCCACTGGCTCTCTGCGTTCCCCACAGCACCCTCATCCTCAGCCCTCAGGACCTGCTGGTGCCAGCCCTGGGGCTCTCCTACCCCCTGGACCTGGAAAGAGCCCTCCACCATGTTCCTTGGTCGCCCCATGGAGGTGCCCTTGGGTCCTGTGGGGCCATGGTGACACAGCCCCCAGAGGAGAGGATGCTGATGGGGGATCTGAAGGATGATTCACTCCTAGTGAAGGTGGAAAAGCATTCCAGGCTGGCAGAAAGGCCTGGCAAGGCCCAGTGTGGGATGGTGTGTGGAATATTCTGGAAGTGGAAGATGGCTTTATGGCTGGTGCACCCAGAGGGGAGGCAGAGAGGAACAGCCCTAATCCTGTCTCATGCGCGTATGTGTGCCAAGCGCACCTCTCCCCTCCACCCACTCGGTTCACACACAATACAGCCAAGCGGCTCTCCCCCAATGGCAGCACCCGGACCGCCGGGTCTCGGGGGGAAGGGCTCTGGTAACCCCATGATGAGAAGCCTGGACTGCCCCATGACCCCACCCAAGGAGCAGTAACAGGGGCCCTCAGGCCCAGACACCAGCCCCTGGGCTGCGTACCTTGTTCTCCTTGGTGTAGGCCAGCACCTTGTCCTCCTCTTTGGGGTGGAAAATCAGGGTTTCCACCGAAAAGGGGATGAGCTGCTTCTGGAAGGTAGCACCCTCGTCCGTGCTGAGGAACAGACTCTGGTCACGGTCGCTGAGTGAGGAGCTCACAAGGACAATCTGAAACAGAAAACCAGGAAGCCATGAGCCTCCCCTCTAAATACCAGACTGGAGGGCATGGCAGGAACCAGGGTGGGGGGGCAGGGAGGGTGCCCCCCCACTCCCTGCCCCTGCCCACTCGTGCACACTGGTCATTCATTCTCTCACTGCACAAATATTTCCCAGGGCCGGGGTGCTGGGCACCATCCACACGCTGATGGTCTGCTGTGAGCCATCCATTCGGGGAGGGGGGGCAGCAGGAGACAGGTGAGTGCATCCACCATCATGTGGCTGACTGGTGGCCCAAGGAGACATGGTAGGATGGTGGGGAGGCTGAGCTGGTAGCTGCCTCCCAAGGCAGAACACTGGGCCACCTGGGGGTCCACCTGGGACAGTGTGTGCAGGGGTGGGACTGCGGACAGTGGATGTGAGGTGACCAAGGAGGATGGGACTGAAGTAGCTGCCTGTCAAATTCTATGAGCCCAAGAGGGCACCACAGTGGGTGAAATGGCATCCCCCAGGAAGACACCAGGTCCCCATGTCCTAACCTGGGTACCTGTGAAGGGGACCTCACTTAGAAACAGGGTCTTCACAGATGTAACCAAGCTAACCACGTCAGTAGGGAGTCATCCTGGAAACCAGCAGACAAGGCGTCCATGGCAAAGATGGGTGACAGCCCTGCCTCACACATCCCCATCTGCAAAAGCCTCCCATGGAGGGTCTCTGCAAGGCTCTTGGCTCCACCTGGAGGGTCAGGGGAGCCACATCTCCATGGGGTGCATCCTGCTTGGGAAGCCGGCCTGTGGCCCTTTCTGGGTTTGTCCACTTTCTTGCTAAGGTATGTGCACAGGTACAAGCCCTGCTGGACTGTGAGGTGGAGGGGAAGCCCCAGGTCTCATAGGAAGGTCAGGAAAGGCCAGCCAGAGGTCAGAACAGGTTGGCCCTGCTAGCTACACACAGGGCACCACCGGGATCTTCAGAGGCAGAGCCCAGGGCACAGGGAGAGGCTTCCCTCCTTTTCCTGAGGCCAGAGGGTCAGCCAGCCTGGAGGGCTGGGGAGGGGATGTGGGCACCTGGCACTGAGAGCAGATGCCCCCCACCCCCGGCCATGTGGTCAGCCCCCTGCCGCCTGAGTGAGCCCAATCTCTACCTCCATCCTCTTCTGGGAGATCCAGTTCCCACAAATAAGCTGGGGGTGGGGGGGCAGTCTTCCCACTCACAGACCTCGTGGAGACTTCTGGGTTCCTCACAGTCCCAAAGAGACTGTGACCTCTGTGCAGGGTCTGCAGGCTCCTCCTGGACTGGCCTCCCTCCCTGCCTCTTGCTTGTGCACTGGCCACAGCCAGGGTGGTCCACCCATATCCAGTCCTCCCTCAACACCTGTCCCCTCTGTCTCCCCCTCACCCCCCTGGGTCAGTGGATCCTCGGCTTCGAGGCCATGGGGGACATTGTATTTGCTCACCACCTTTTGTGGAGGTAGCCTCTTCCCACAGGACTGTGGCCCTCTGGGGCCGGGGCCAGGTCTGCAGAGTTCACTGCTGTCCCCTCCCTACCATCACTCCTGCAGGGCCTGGGGACCCCACACACTTGTTGAATGAATGAATGAATGAATGAATGAATGAACAGACACCCATGTGGATAGAGCAGGGGGCCAGGGGCACCCTCAGTCTCAGCCCAGCTCAAATTCCATGTCCATGTGACCTCAGGCAAGCTGGCTAACCATTTCCTCCCTAGGGTGCCTGGCATTGGGCGAGCCTGCAATGAAAGTCTAATAGGAGTGCAACCAGACTGTCCTCACTGGAGCTCTGCGGGGCAATTATCCCCTCTGCTTGGCTGATGGGGAAACGGAGGCCCAGAGAGGGGGAACAAACTGCCTGAGGTCACACAGCATGCAGGATGGAGCCAGGGTCTGGATCTGAGGGGTAGTCTATGCAGAGTGGGGTGCCGGTGAGGTCGGGGTGGGGGTGGGACCAGCCAGACATGAGATGACCCTGGCTTTCAAGGGGGGGAGGCTGTGGGGCTATGGACGCCCCACCCCATGAAAAGAAGTAGAGTATAAACTTATAAGCAACTATGTATTTCACATGGACAAAACTGTGAGGAAGCCTATGATAATTTTGTCAATGGTAACTGTGTAAAAGTGTAATTGTGTCAGTGGAGGTGCACACAAATAGAACCAGAGAGTTTACTATTCAGCCATAAAAGAAAGGAAACCTGGCCACTTGTGACAGCAGGGACAGACCTTGAGGGCGTCATGCCCAGGGAGAGAAGTCAGAGACAAGTACCACCTGATCGCACTTACAAGTGGAATCTTTTAAATATATATATATGTGTGTGTGTGTGTTTAATTTTTAATTTTTTTATTCAAATTCAATTAGCCAACATAGAGTACATCATTAGCTTCAGATGTAACGGTCAATAATTTACCAGTTGCCTAAAACGGGTGGAATCTTAAAAGCAAAGCCTGAGCTCACAGAAACAGAGAACAGATTGGCGGTGCAGGTGGCGGGTGGGCGAGGGGTGAAGGGGGTCAGGAGGCGCAAACTGCCTGTCACCAAGTGAGCAGGTCACAGCTGCGGGGCCCAGCGGGTGACACGGTCAGGAACACTGTGCCGCATGTTTGAAAGTTGCTGAGTGTAGATCCTGCCTCAACAGTCTCATCACACCGTTATAACAACGTGTGGTGGCGTGTGTGGGGGGGTAACGAGACGTACCGTGGCGATCATTTCACCATATATGCAAATACCGAGCCGTTATGTTGTACACCTGGACCTGAGGTAACGTTACATGTCAATCGCACTTCAGCTTGGAAAAAATGAACAGGAGGTAACACGGGGGACATTAATAGTGGTGAGTTTTAAGTGGTAGAGTTAGAAGGAAATTATTTATTTTATTTTATTCTAAGATTTTGTTTATTTATTTGAGAGAGAGAGAGCAAGAGAGCATGAGCAGGGGGAGGGGGAGAGGGAGAGGGAGAAGCAGACGCCCCGCTGAGCAAGGAGCCCAATGCAGGACTCGAACCCAGGACCCCGGGATCAAGGCAGACACCTCCACCAACTGAGCCACCCAGGTGCCTCAATATTTTTTATTTTAAATAAACGTTGTAGTTTAAAAGCTTTAAATTTACAGAAAAGTCGCAAAAATAGTACAGAGTCCCATAACCCCTGGTGCGGTTTCCTCTGCTAGGATATGTCACATCAATAGCAGATGCTTGTCACAGCTAAGGAACCAGCATCCGCACAAGTGCATGGTCTGAACTACGCACTACGTTCCACGAATGGCCTTTCCTGGTCCAGGACCCCATCCAGGACCCCACCTGACATTCAGGTGTCATGTCTCCTTAGGCTACTCTGGGCTGTGGCTTTCTCAGACGCGCCTTGTTTTTCTTGACCTTGACGGTGTTGAGGCGTTCTGGGCGTTCTGGTAGCCTATTTTGCAGACTGCCTCTGGATTTCGGCTTGTCTGCGCTTTCCTCGTGGTGACACTAAGGGTCATGGGTTTCGGGGAGGAAAGGCCAAGAGGTGAGGACCTTCCTGAGGGCAGTGGATCCAGAGAGCAGGCTATGGAGGGCCTCACTGGCTGGGTGGCACTGGTCAGGGCTCTCCACTGGATGGCACCCCATTCCTCCTTGGGTCCTCGCTGTCCCCCTTGGAGGACACCCTCATCACGGCCCCCACCTGCAGTGGGGGGGGGAGGTAGAAGAGCTACAGGCATTCTTGTGAAGAATCCTTCTGCATGGGAGACCCGTCTCTTCTCCTCCACTTATTTATTCAATCGTTTATTTACGTCACTATGAACTCATGAATATTTATGTTAGACTTCGAGCTGTCATTCAATGCTGTTCTGTTATTTCCTTATCCCAGTGCTCCAGCTCTGGCTACCAGGGGCTCTTTTGGGTTCCTGTGTCCTCCTTGCCACAACACCCTGTGTTGTGCGCTGCACCTGCCCTCCCCGGATAATTGGGAGGAACGAAACAAACCACGCAGCTTTCTTACACATCTTACTGGAGGCCGCTTGGTTCATTCAACATCTGCCCACCACGCGGGCCAGACTCTGTGCCCCACCCCGGGGCAGCGGCCCCCACGCCAGGCCATTGGGGCCATCTGGCCAGGGAAGCCCAAGTGTCACTCATCAAAATGGTTTCTCACAATTATTTTTCAATGTTCTTAGGATGCAACTATTTACTTAGCCACCTCCCCGGGTAGATTGTGCCCTTGAGCGCAGGATAGCCACGTTAGCTCCTGCTCCGTACTGTGAGCATGTAGCCCAGGCCGACGTGGCGCCGTCAGCTAATCCAGGCCTGATGGACGCGGGCTGAATGCATGCACGCATGAATGGGTAAGCAAGTCCATCTCAATCCGTGACTCCGAAAGAAATTGTTTGCTCTTCTCCTTTGGGAGGAAAACATTCCTGGGGATATTTACGAAGCCTGGAGACGAGCTGTCATAAAACATCTCATTCACTTATTTCTCTTCATTACTCAAAGGTTCATACACCAGTGAAGACTCATTCATTCATTCATTCATTCATTCATTCTTTCATAGTTGCTAAAAGTAAAGAGCTAAGCAAAGATTTAGGTATGCACAGGGCTTTGTGGCAGCAGAGCAGGAGGGAAAGTAGAATCCAGGTACAGGGCCAAAAGGAGGGCTTCCTAGAGGAGGTGACACCCAGATGAGCCTTGAAAACTGGATGGAAATTTGACTGGCAGACCCAGGGGAGGGTGTTTCAGCCAGACAGGCAGCATGACCAGAGGGTGGGGGTCCCTGACCTGCCTCTCGCCCCCGCCTCAGGCTCCAGGTGTCAGCCACCTAGAGCCCTGGTGTGTTTTAGTTCACTGAGACTGTTCACATTTTCACCACCTTTCCATGCACTTGTTCCCTCTGGCTGGAATGTCCAGTGGGACTAAAACACCCCAACCTCATCACAGATCATTCAGAATCAGATCTTACAATATCAAAATAACACAAAGTCGACATATGATAAAATTAAAATAGCTTCTTTGAATTTTTCTGAGCCCCCAA